TCTGAGGAGGAGGAGAAGGGGGGGGTGTTGAAACTGAGGAGTACCTAAGGCAAAGCTGGAGGTTGGCTTCTCTGCTTTTGGGTGGTCATTGTGTTTGAGCTCCCTCCCCTAACTCATCCTTCATTGTTTAGGTCCACCAACGAACAATTTGTCAAGTACATTTAACAAAGAACATAACATATTTTTTGCACATAAGAATGATACATTCTACCAGAAGATACTCTTGTGCTTCCTGTAACTAATGGCTTATTATGGAAGAGAAGTTGCACAAACCATTAAAGGGAGCGTGTTACAAAACTTTAAATCTTTTATAGTACATTGGTTTTTTACTTTTAATCCTAAATTATTCTTAATATAAAATGTGTAGTTTTGGACCTTCTTTACTGCTTAAAATCTTTTAATAAAAGCCTTTGTTATATACACTCTTTTATACAGCTTGAGTTTTCAGTGTACAAGGCCAAATGCTTATAAAAGAAAGACTGGCTTCAGCTCAATTCAGACTTGGTCTGGTTAAAGTTATGATATTTTTTTTATTACTGTACTTCTTGAACCATATAAAGTAAGGTCTATGTGTATTACTAACACAGATTAGGTTTTGTTATAAAATTAATTATCTGAAATTGTATTTTAACTATCCTAGCCTAAAACATGTAAAGAAGTAAAAAAAAAAAATAAATAAAAACTGTAGGCAAGTTCCAATATTCCTAAGCTTTGGGTCTATGCTTTAACAAATTTGGACAATAAATTGGAAGCAGAGCAACAAGCAGTAGCAGGTTAGGTGATGCTGGAGTGGGAAAGGAAAATGAGGTATTAAAAAAATAAGAAAAAAATAAAAGGAAAAATAAAATTAATAGCACTTATTTCTGGTAAGGAAGATTTGGCCACTGTTCTTTATATCACAGCCCATGAATGCTTGCTTATAGAGTAGGTTGCTTTTTTATTAAAATGACCAGAGTATGTGGTGGAATTTGCAGAATTTTTCAAATGTTTTAAAAGAATCTTTTTTCACTGAAGGAGTTACAATATATAACAAATAAAATGTGTATTTGCTGAGAAAAATGCATACCAATAGTTTTCCTTATTATTCCTTTTGCTAAGAGGATAATTACAGGTGCTGAACACAAGTGCACTAATGTACTCTTGGACTTCAAGTGAAAGGTACCTGCTGGGGAAGAGAATCGTCCTCCCCAGCTGAACTTTATGCCATGGAAACGTATACAAAGTGGCAAGAGCAACATTTATCTTCCAGGATTGATTACTAGTAATGCATTTGCAATGTGCTTGCAATATATCCAAGGTGATGTATCTGATTATCATTCTTCTCTCTCAAATTACAAAACACATCAGTCAAAAGCTAACAGGAGCTGGGACATATGGCATCTCAGAGAAGAACAAGCTGCTGGGCTTCCACCACTTAGAAAGCTGTGCCTGCCCTGCCTCAGTGCCAGGAGAGGCCACTGAGTCCTGCTGACTTCAGAGCCTGGGAGCTGTGAATTCAGACTTTTTGGGATGCTGTAGCTCCTGTTCTTTCTGCATGTCACTTACAAGTCATCCATGCTGTGTTCTTGGTAGGCCCAAGGGATATAGATTACTGCTACCTTCTGTACTACTCAGCTCTGCTGTGAGTACTAGTGACATGTCATGTACAGGACAGTTGGTTTGGAGCTGCTGTTTCCTTTGAACTGATTTAATTTTTGAAGTTTAATCAGTATATGGTTGCAATCCTGCATGTTTTTATGCTTATTTAAAATATGTCCCCATACATGCTTTATTTATATCTGAATACTTGCAGTACCCAGTACTAGAGTTTGTATTAAAAAACTTACATTTTAGACAACATACTCCACAATGATTTTTCTTTTTATTTCATGTAGCCCAAGCTTCATGAAAGTTTGTAAATCTATTTTGTAGTAAGCTTCATACTGTCTGATAAGCCCATGTAGCTGCAGCTCTTTGTATTTTTCATCCCACATGTGATGCAAGATTAAAAGTGACATGATTTCTTTGATACTGTAAGCAGGCGTTCATACCAAATGAGGTGGTCATCCCCTGTCACAGTGCTGCCCTTCTACTGCACCATCCCGGGTGCTGGGGCATCCTGCAACTGAGTGGTAAAGCAGGTCAGGATTAAATCTAAACAATTTTTCTTGTTGCTAGCTTAGTTGTAACCCAATAGAGTTTGCTGTGCAGCCACAGCAATATTTTTATGGGCACAAAGAGGCACAGGGCACAGGTGTGAAAATGAGCAGCTTACAGCAGAAACAGACCCATCTTTCTAAGTCCCACGACTCTCTTATCATGACCTAATCATGAAACTATGGTACTACTTTACTCGAAATTACGCTTATAAATTAGCATCTTGGCAAGCACGTCTGGGTAACATAATCAGGCTTTTAACTGCTCAAAGAGGATCAGAAACATTTAAAATGCACAAGTGATCTTTCCATCAAACCAAACAACAGCAACCAGAGCCAGTCAGAATATTTTATGCTCACAGTAAGGTCAAATCCATCTGAAATTAAAAAAAATAAATAAATAAATAAAAAAAAGGGACCTCAAAAGACAATAGTCCAAGAGTCTAGAAAATTGCTATTCATGACCCAGATTTTCACTGAAGAATTCCTGGAACTCACCCTTGTCCCACTTTTCACAGATTTTAGCTTCTGCTATGATTGTTATTGGGGGTTTTGTTCTTTTTTATCTTAACATTACTACAGTTTTCAAAAGTTTGAAATCACAAGAAACTAAAAAAGTGAGTCAAACCTTTGCTGCCTGAGATTGTTCAGCAGCAGAGCATGGAATTAAACCTAGTCTTCAGCTTGGCTGATAACAAAGCAGAGTTCAGTATTTTTTCCAACTCTCCTCCTATTCCCCTCACTAATCACTAAAACGTGCCTCGTGGATAGCTGCTGTGACTGTGCTCAGTTACTGTATCCTTCATTCAGTTGCGACAGTGGGACCAGCCCTTATGCTCTAATACCCGGTTACGCAATCAGATTAAGGAGCCATCTGCAGCACAAACTGAAACTGCTCTATAATCGCGTTCTCGGCTCACGCAGAACTTTGGTTTACGCAGGATCTGTGTCTCCTTGAATTATTCACCAGCCTCCCTGCTACTCCTCTCCTTCTTCAAGCTGGAAACGCACAGCAAGCGATACGGTCAAATATTTCAGTGATTAAATCATTGCGCTTTGAGCACGCTCAGCTCAAATGCTGTTTCTGAGATTGAAAGGAATATTTGCGGTAGTTCAAAGGGAAAGCAAAACCTCTCCCTTCCTTGTGCCTCCTTTGAATGTGCTTGAAAGGACAGTAGATCAGAGCTTGCTGCTTTTGCCACTCTGCTGTCAACAGCTGAATTGTTAAATGATTTAATGCCAACGCATCTCTTATGTAGCTTTGTAAAGCCTCAAAACTAAAAATACCTGCTTTTGTCAAGTATTCACAGAGTGTCTATTTTACCTAGTCGTGTGCACAGCAAGGTCTCGGTTCATCATTAGCGAAAATAATTCTGCATTCTCAAGGCTTTCCTGTTGCTACAGTCGCCTTTACTAACAAAATGTCTTTTTAAATGACAAAACTAGAAACTCGCACTGTAAGTCGCCTTTGTCTTCAAAGGGCTTTGCTACAGGAACGCAGGACGGAGCCCTGACTACGTGTGTTGTAAAATCAGCCCTAACAAAGGCCGGAGCTCCGTTTGTTTTCCGCTGAGAGCCGCACAGCCGGCGGCTGCGCGGGGCTGCCGGGGAGCTGCCTCCCGCAGGCGGAGGGGCAGGAGCGCTCGGACAGAGCCCGCCCGCCCTCTCCGGGAGCCGCTGCCAGCCGTGGCCGACAGTAGGCGGAAAGGAAAGGAGGAAGCGAGGCAGGGCAGAAAGGCCGAGAGGGAAGGCACGAGACAGGCAATCCGGAACGAACAGCCCGCGCAGTGCCGGCTTCGGCTGGAACACTAGAGCGAGAACAAGTGAACGGGGGGAGCCGCTGCGGCACAGCGAGGCGGTGGCGGAGGCCACCGGGCCCGCGTCGGTAGGAGCGCGGGTACGCGCTCGGCCGTGCTAGCGGCAGCTCCGACCCGTGACACTCTCCGGGGCCGCCCTTCCACATCCCACGGCGGAGGCGCGGGAAGGGGGGAAAAGAGAGGCTGACGCACGGGGCTTTGCAGCGGGCCCAGCCTGCAGACGGGATGAAAAGGGAGCGGAGCGCGGCGCGGGAAAAAGAAGCGGCTGCGGCAGTGAGTCCTGCCCCCGCCGCTGCCTCGGCCGCGCTCCCGCCGCCGCGCGGTGCCGGGGCAGGAACTGCGCTTCCCGTGGGGCCGCGCGCGGCAGCCGGCATGCGCGGCGGGCGGGCGGGGCGGGGCGGCAGGTTGCTGTTGTTACATAGGAAACAGCTGAAGAGTCTCCACATGACAGGGGGGGAAGGAGGAAGTGGGGCGGCCCGCGGGGCTCTGCCGCCGCTGCTCCGGTAGTCGCGGTGCTCGGCTGGCGGCTGCTGGCAGGGAGAGTCCTTCCCGCGACGCGTGGACTGACCGCCCTCGAGGGCGGACTTGCGCCCCGGTGCCGCTGCCGAAGGGAGGCGGGCAGGGAGCGGGGGAGCCCCCCGCCGGGCCGCGGCGCCTCGCCGGGGAAGTTTGGTGCGGGGCGGGATCCCGCCGGCCGCGGCGGTGGCGCCGGGAATGAACGGCTTCGCCCCCGAGGAGGTGACCCAGCGCGGGGCAGACCCCGCCGCCGCGGCGGTGGTGGGCACTGCGGGCTCCGCCGTGGAGGTGCCGCCGCCGCCGGCGCCGCCGGGGCTGGGTCCGGCCGCCGCCGCCGCAGGCTCGGCGGGCGGCGGGTGCGCGGGCGGCCCCGGGGCCGGGCAGCTGTGCTGCCTGCGGGAGGAGGGGGAGCGATGCGGCCGCGCCGCCGGCAACGCCAGCTTCAGCAAGCGCATCCAGAAGAGCATTTCACAGAAGAAGGTGAAGATCGAGCTGGACAAGAGCGTAAGTCCGCGAGGGGAGGACGCGCCAGGGCTGCCAGAGGGGCGGGCGGACAAAAGCGGCCGGTAGGTCGCTGCATCTGTGTCTTAGCTGGCTGGGGGACTTCTAATCAAGTTTGGTGGGGAAGGAGGGGTGTGTGGCGGCGGGGAAGTGTTCGTTTCCTCTTCCCACCTCTTGCCGTAGCACGGCCGAGTTCGGCTGGCGCGGCAGGAGCGCTGCCTGAAAGTCCCTCCGGGCGGGGGGCAGTGCCCGCCTTTCCTGCCTGCTCCTGGGGCCCCCTGTACCCCAAGAGCCTGGGCATCGACTGCGTGTGCCCCCCTGTAGCCGGAGCGGGGATGAGCGTGGCCGGGAAGCGCCGCTGCCCGCCGGAGCGGAGCGGAGCCTGCATGGCTCCCGGCGCGTTAGTTTGTCTGTGTTGCTGGCGAGGGCCGCGCTCGCCGCCCCGCCTCGTGTTGCAGCGCCGCACGTCTCCCGTGCCGCTTTATCTTCCGCTCGGCAGCCATCGGGCCCCGCGCAGCGCGGCCGGGCAGGGCGGGGGCCGGCCGCCTTCCAGCGCGGTGCTTTGCCCGGGAGCCGGGAGAGCGCCCGCCTCGCCGGGTGCCGCGGAAGGGCGAGACGGGCTTCAGCGTGGAGCTGCCGGCGGGAGCGCCCCGGGCCGGGGCTGCGTGTGCCCCGAGAGACCCCGGCCCGCTCTGCAGCCCGGTGCATCACGCTGCCCCGCGCTCTCGTTCGCCCTGAAAGCACGCGGGCTTGGGCATGCCGGGCTGGTAGCGCCCAGATCTCCCAAAGCGCGCAGAACCCCACGAGAGGGAAACTTGCTAAAAAGAAAGAAAGTAAAAATAAGTGTGTTGCGTGACCGTGCCGGGTAGCGGAAGTAAAACAAGGAGGAGAGGATATAGCTGGGGAAACGAGAGCCGTCTCTTAGCCCTGCAGAGAAAGCTGCGAGCTTGTTTTTTTGTTAGCGTGCCGCCCGGCCCCCGCGGTGCGATGCGCGGCCGGAGGGAGGGCTGTGCTGCGTGGCTCCACAGCCTGGCACTGCTGCATCGGCCGATTGCAGCATTTCAGCGAGCTCGGGGCCCAGCCGGTGGCGGGGAGCTGCAGCGCAGCTCGCTCTCCATTTACAAGAAGCCAGTGGAAAAGCTTCCTCAACCCAGTTAATGTGGCTGTGAGTGCTTAAGGGTTGTCTGCCTACGTGCACTTTAGTCTAGGGGATACACTACGTGGGTCTAATTGAAAGATGCCGTTTTATTCTTCTAGGCAAGACATCTGTACATTTGTGACTTCCACAAAAATCTAATTCAGAGTGTGAGAAATAGAAGAAAGAGGAAAGGCAGCGATGATGATGGTGACTCACCAGTGCAAGACATCGATGCTCCAGAGGTAGCTAAACAGTTGGGGTCTTTTTTCGAGTTATTGTGTTAAGCTTCCTAATGACACTGAGTCTGCACCAACACCACTCTTCCACTTTTGCAGCTTTGCCTTACATGTAGGAAAGGGAAGATTCTTGATTTGCACTGTTTTTAATATGACAAAATTTAACTGAATTTTTGTGGCGTGTTTTCTGATTAAATGGTGCATAGGACAATGAAAAAGAGTCTCTAAGTGTCTGATGCTTCTCTCAGAAATCTACTGTTTTAAGATTTCTCTGAGAAATCTACTGTTTTCCTCCTCCTTAGTGTTTTGCCACATGCCATCGAACTCTTACCTTTTGCCGGAGCTTACAAGCTGAAGGGAGTTGCACAGAGTGCTTGGGCTATAAATGCTTCTCTGTCCTGTCCCTTTTGTGCTAAATGTGTTGCAGATGGTTCTAGGCAATTATTCCATTGCCTTAGTCACTTTAAAGACTGAGAGTTTAATGATGGTAGCTTTGTTTCTGCCCCACTGTGGGGGGAAGAACCATTTGGAGAGCTCTGCTATGAAGGAGTGGGGAAATACGGTGTCTTTTAAACCTGTTTTCTCCACTGCACACCAGTGAAATCTGACCCATTAAAATAACGGAACTAAAGCGTTCAACCTTTCTTATAGTGTAATGGGTCGGTCTTGAACATAAGGCTCTCTTTTTCTTACACATGCTCTGGGTTATTTTTGCTACAACGTTGCTTAGCAGGTGTTCCACAGTGTGTTAATTTTGAGCAGAGGCTTGTTATGCCTACGTGGTTCTTTCTGAGAGGGATTGTTAAAACATTCTTCAGAAATTGCTCTGTAAGTGTTAATGTAATGGCATCCTTATGGTCAGCATCTGCAGATAACAGCGAGTAAGTGAGTAAAGTTTGTGCAGGAATCTGTGCCTTCAGGCACGAGGCTCCAGTCTGAATGCTCTGTCTAAGAGGATTTTAGGAGATTGAAAGTAGTTTGATGCTGAGTGGTGTTGTCTGTCTCTTAAGTATCTGTGATTGTTTCTTGGAAAGTCCTGTCTAAAGCTAGTGCTGTGAGTGACTTCAGGTAGCTCTCTGACACTGTGTACTTTCAGCTCTCCTGGAAGCCTGTTTTGTTTCCTTATGCCAGGATTATAAAACATGTCACAACTGATGGATATCTTCAGAACAAGAAAGCAAGCCTTTTTTTAAAACAGTATTATTACAAAAAAGAAAACTGGGAACTGTTTTTGAGAAGTGTCAGCTGGCTGTTTGGACAACGGCAGTCTGGTCTGTTCATTCCTTGTAATTACTGTGTGCCTTAGATACTTGCTTGCCCTTGACTACCCTTATTTTCAATTGTTACCCAGTTTGCTAAGGAAAAAAGTATCGTTCTTCTGAAGAGTTGTAAGGCTCTCCTGCTCCATCTCAGTCATGACCATCTTTAGATTGGAAACGATTCCTACAGGAGGAAAAGAAACTCCTGCAGTCCTGGTAGCTTCTGGGGCTTGCTGAAAAGCTGCTGCTCCTCCATGATGCTGCAAGGGTGGCTTCTCCACTGTGGCTTGGGAAATGTAATTTAATGCCATGTAAACTTTAGAAGCACCAAAGGATACCATCCTTTGTTATGCAAGGTGGCCTCACTTCGAGTCTGGCCAGGTTGCCAAGTTTGCAGTAGCACTGCTGGTTTTAAGTGTTCTGCAGTAAGGCTGTTAAATGAATCTAAAGCAAAAGTGAATGCCTTCGTCAATCTTTAATGCAGCGAATTTGGAGAATACTATTGTAATTGCAACTGACCTAATAGAGTTTCTCATTCAGCCTGCTTTCTGAGCTTGCTCTCCCACTCAGTCATCTGATTAAGCTCTCTTAGGTTGCCAGGGAGGATGGGAAGGGTAAGCTGTTGCTGGGAGAAGTGACTGATCAGAGTACATAGGATTCAAAACTGACAGAGTACTGGATTAAGGCTGTGTATTTGTATCCCTGAGAGGACTTTGTGTAATTCTCTCAACTGTTGAATGACATTGAGAAAGAATTTTGGACATTTATGCCCATGCATATAACTCCTGCATATTGCTTGTGTAGCAGGGATATATTTGGAAAGCAAGAGCAGTTCTTTTCTTTTCTCGCCTCAAGCTAAGAATGTTTGTGCTCTAGACTCTGTCCTGATTCTAATATGTGCTCTTTCATGGTGCATGGTGTCTTGTATGTAATCTACATAAGATGTAATGGCTGAAATTACAATATAGGGGCCTCCTTTGGATCAGCATCTTTATAGATGTTGTGTGATAGTTGCTATTTGGCTTGGTGTTATCGTGCTGGAACTGGGAAGCAAACAAAAAATCCAGAATAGATGCAAGTACAATAGTGAGTTCAAAATAATGTCCACAGCTAAAGGGGAGGTAGAAGCATGCTCAGTAACAGCAAAACACTCTTAAAACTGAGCTGGGCTATTTTCCTGTCTTCTAGAAGGTTTGTTTTTTGTCAAAATGACATCTGCTGAGCTGACTGTTTACACTTGCGTATCTGTGAGTTTCCAAAATGTTTTTGTGAGACAAACTATTAATGACTGAATTTTTTTCAGTTATATTAGATTGTTTTCTTCCCCTTCCCCCTCTTTTCTTCTAGGTTGATTTATATCAGTTACAAGTAAACACACTTCGAAGGTACAAAAGACACTTCAAGCTACAGACCAGACCGGGACTTAACAAAGCACAGCTTGTTGAAGTATGTATGAGTGTTTCCCATAATAGAAAATGCAACTTGCTGTGGCATGTCGTTTTCTTTACACTGTGATCCTTGCATAAAGTGCCTATATAATCTGGATTTTAGGAGAACAAAAGGGAGCTGCTTATCTAGCTTCCTTCATTGGCCACAGCTCCTGAGCCAAGTAAATGAAAAGTAAAAGCTCTTTCCAGAGGAGGGACTCTTAACTTCCAAAACGAGTGTGTGCTGCTTTTAAACAGTGTTGAGCTGGAACAGTTAAGTTGATCTTCATGCCCCTGAATATCATAGAATCATGGATTTATTCTGTCCATGGATCAATCACAGCCTCACCGGAAATGTCCTGCTGAAAAGAACTAGAAACTGAGACGTGTCAATGAAGTTCTGGTGAGGTTCAGACTTTACTTTAAACAGCTAGTTACTGCAAACATAGGTTTCTGTATATGTAAAGTACAGAAACCTGAAAAAAGCGCTTCTATTGATAATTAATTATGTTAAAACCACTGGAATCTGCTGTCAGAAAACGGGAATTATATGTAGTTTACTGTTTCCAAAAGTGCTGAAGCTGCATGTCAGTACAGCTGGATGTTCTCATCTTTACTTCGCATGAGTTCAATCTTAAAGGAATTCTTTAGTGCTGCAAAGGTGCAGTCACAGCATATTGATGTAAATAAGTGGAAGAGCTGGTGATCTTAACAGGAAGGTATAGCTACTGATTTTTCACTTTGGTGCGGTGATACATTCAGCTGTATTTAAGTGCAGACACTGTTTTCATCTCTCCTTGATCTGTGTGGATTAAAAACAAGGCTCTTAAAGGTATGGGTGATCTCAAGGCTGAACTGTAAAAGAATGTAAAATTAGTCTTCCATTTGCTTATACATAGGTTAGCTCTTGAATTAGAAGGTCTGTGAATTGAAAAAGCACAAGCAGTTTTTGTTCTGCAAAACTGGTGTTTTGCAGGGACTGCTTTAGGTACATGTCCTCTGATACTTGCACTAGGTTATTCCAATTCTGCGTGGTGTGCATGGGCAAAGCTGCTTCTGCCACATGCTTGATTTGACTGACCTGCAGGTATTTGTGAGCTATAGCCACAGAGCTTCCTTAATATACAGTACATTTGATTCCTTGTAATCCGTCCTATCATCTCTGTGAATGCTTTTGGGGTACAGTTTAGAAAGCTTCTTAAATTTTAGTTGGGCTGAACATTTATTCTTACTTAAGCACTATGGTGCTTAAGTGAGCAGTCCCATGTTTTTCACTTGATCCTTTTAGTCTACCAGTCTGGCAAGAAGCCAGAGAACAAACTCAGTTGCAGTATTTGCAACTTTCTTTTAAAGCTGGTGCTCATTTCGAGAAAGGGAAAGGCTGCTGAAACGACAAGTGATTCAAGAGCTGCATACAGACTGTTATATTTCAATGGTTACAGCATGGTGAATTTTCAATGATAGCTTTGTTTTGAAGAGTTGAATATTCAATTATAGTTCTCTGGTAATTCTTGTGTTGTATTAAATATTTCTGTATGTGATTTGATGCAGATACCACCTCCCAAGTTGAACAGAGAGCAGTAGCCTCTCATAATAGTGCTGTCACTGTTGATATTATGTAGTCATTACCTGTTATATTCAAGCTCTTAACTTAACAAATGCCCCAATGATAGCCCCATGTTTGTTCTGATAGCTTTGAGGGCTTTTTCCCTTGGAAAAATTACCAACTTTTTACTTTGGAAATTAGGGGTACAATCCGCTACATTTCGCTCACAGTTATCAATAAAATAGTTCCTGTTTACCTTTTTCTCTGACTACTGAAGACTTCTGAAGAGAGGCAAAATTTCCTTTTTTGTAAGCTTCTTAATCAGTTAATGTAGTACATTTAAATATGAATCTTCAGGTTTTGCATATAAGAGTGATTATTTAATTTTCTTGCATTCTTCCTTTATAGATAATTGGCTGCCACTTTAGGACAATTCCAGTGAATGAAAAGGACACCTTAACGTACTTCATCTACTCAGTGAAGAATGACAAGAATAAACCAGATCTAAAGATGGATAGTGGGATTCATTAGGCAGAAAAGGTTGGGACTGAGACTCAGACTGCAGATGAAAAGACTGATGTTTTGTTGATATGCAAAAGCTTTCTTTGTAACTTTTTCTCCTGAGAGAGTTTGTCTGGTTTATTTTTCATAACCTTGCTGATTTGTTTGAAAACCATCTCTTATGAAACAAA